TATATATATATTTATATATATCCTTATAGCCTCAAAAGATGCCATGCGGACAACAACAGCTTTAACTCCTAATGTCAATTGGCAGGCATTGGAGTTTCTCCTTAGAGTGCTAGAATTCTCTTTCTTTGGTGTTGCTCTGATGTTTGGTTTCTTGTGGTTGATGCCTTGGCACCAATTAAAGTGGCACCTCGTTGTTGAAGTGACGTCTAGACTGCTTTGGTTCAGTTATCGACTGCTAACCCCCAGGATGAGAAACTCATATCGTCACGATGAGATTGAGGTGTCGGGCAAAGGGACAATCATCGTAATCTGATAGGTGGTATAGCCCTTGGCAGAACATTCGTTGGGAGTGTTCAAGGAGTGTGTTGGGATGAGAATCATATAACTAATCAAGCATATCAGATACTCTTTGCAAGAAGGCTTGTGATGTTGGAATGAGAGTTGGATTAATGCCTTCTCTCGGTTCGATGGGTCTTGTTCTTTGATTGTGGCAGCCTTCGTTCTGTCAGCTCCGAGTTTTATTCCAAGGGCTATAGTTGGTCAATTAAGTCTTTTAGTCTTCCATAGATGTGGCTCTTGATCTTCCTTTTTTTCTTCTAACTTATTGAATTTTTTAGAGATTCATGCTGACGTATTGTTGATATAGAAAAATTATATTATAAATAAATTCATTCAAGCAAAATAATTCTTCTCATTAAATTTACAACGTATCCGATCAAATAACTTTACTAGTAAGTTCTGTTATTTTATGGAGCTTTTAAAATTATATGTATTTTAAATACATCGCCCACATTCCCTTAATTTTAAAATTAGTGATAAAAATGAAAAAAATTATGGTAATTATATGTATACCATCCAATTCTTGTGTATCTATATTTCTAACTCTTAAATTAAAGGTATATTTACTTAACAGCCATTCAATTCTTATGCCTTTCTTACATCTAACTCCTACTTCAATTTTTAATATACATACCTTCTTATCTATATATGAAAATATATATTTAACTTCTTTTTAAATTAAAATGATAATATATTTTGGCATGATAAAAAAAAATATTTGGGCGATATTAACGTAAAAAAAGTAAAATTTAGATGTTAGACAAGTAAAAACATAGAAATTGGGTGGTCTATTATGCAAATTCCCCCTTATTAAATTTTCTTCACTCCTCAAAGTGAAAGTGAAGGCAAGATGTGTGTGCGCAAGAAAAAAATTAATATATTAGGACTCTTCATGTAGAGCTGCTTGCGGGGTTCAAACTCGCGCTGACATGTGGAATTTCGAGCCTACTTACATAAAAAATGAAAAAAATAATGAAAAAGCACGACCCGGCCTGACAGAGCTGATCCCAAGAGCTGCTTGCGGGGTTCAAACTCGCGCTGACATGTGGAATTCCGAGCCTACTTACATAAATAATGAAAACGCACGACCCGGCCTGACAGAGCTGATCCCAGGGATTTTGATTCAGGCGGGGCATACCTACAAAACGCACGACCCAGAATACTGTAGAGATAATACCGCAAAGACAATAAAACCATAATAACACAACGATAAAACCATAAAGCCGCAGCAAAAAAGTCTCTTCACAGCACAACACAACAATAAAATCATAATAATATCACAATCGCCCCACAATAACCCCAACATTCCTTATTAACAAAAATTACACGAGAATACTGCCAAGATCTAGATTGTTAAACCCCTAAAGTGCGAAACTAAATTTGGCTATAACCGGGAAAGGGCCTTATGCATTAAATTTTCGTTAAAAAGGAGTATCGG